TCAGTATCCCCACAGCACCCTCCCAGTGCTGAGTGCTGCCCTGGCAGCCAGCAGGGGGTGTGTCACACCGCTTGGGAGGGGCGGGAGCCGGGACAGCTGACCCGGATTGGCTGTTCCATACCATGTGACCTCAGCTCAGCCATAACAGCCCAGGGCAGGGAGGAGGAGGGGGGCATTTGTTCCTGTGTTTGTCTCCAGGAGCAGCTGCTACACACACTGAAGCTCTGCTTTCCTGGGAAGTGGCTGGACGTTGCTTACTGAGGGGAAGCAGAGAATAACATCTTTGTTTACCTTTTGTTTCTGTGCATGGCCTTGGCCTTTGCTCTAATTAAACTGCTTTTATCTTGACCCACGAATTTTTCATCTTCTTCTCCCTCTTTATTTTGCTGAAGGGAGAGTGACAGAGGGGCCTGGTGGGCACCTGGCATCCAGCCAAGGTTAACCCACCACAACTACAGTGGAAATATTAGGTTATTGGCTGTTATTGTCTACTAGTGACTTATTTGTTCCAGTCTCAATTACTGGAGTTGCAGAAACTTAGTGGCTTTCTTTTCCTAGAATTGAAATATTTTTTGAGCTACCAATGATGCATTAATTTATTTTTTTTTTGCACTCCCACCATCTAAGGTATTAGACCTTGCTGAAATTCATAAATAATGATACCTCACCCCACTTGCTGAGCTTGCTGTTTTCCTGTTGCTGCACTGAAACCTGAGGAACACCCATACAGTATCTGGCAGAGCAGGAAGAACTGTCCTTTGAAATGCCTGAGAGTAATATCTCTGCTGATTTGCCAGGACTCCCAGTGCTGCTGATCATTAATCTTTCTCAGCCAAAACCAGATGGGGCTATTAGGCAGGATGGAGTAATGGGGGAAACTGGCAAGATACAGAAAGAAATGCATTCTCTTCTGGATAGAATTGCATGTAAAAATGAGAACATTAAAAATGTATTTTTCATATTTAATTGGATGATATATGATTATACCTACCAGAAAATAATGTGCAATGTGTTTTGTGCAGGGCATTTATACAACTGTTCAGCTGTTCTAGGGCCTTATCTTCCCCTGCGGAGAGAAACAGGAGCTACAGTTCTGACAAGGTTTTTGTGCTTTTCCCTCTAAACACATGGTTTACTCTGCTGCAACAGCTACTGCAAATAACACCATAAAGTGCCTTCACTTGTTGCAATAACAGGAAAATGCAGTTTATGATTTACACACAAACCACATGAAGCCCACCAGGTAGAAAATCAGTACTTCAGGAATAATGTGAGTATATCTGCTATTCAGTCTAACAAAAGTGATGGAACTGCAGGTACAACTGCTAATTCCTTTATGTTACCAAGTCCAAGATGGTGATTACAAATAGAATAAAAATTGAAGATTATGAAGTAGGATTTGGAAAAAAATCTGATAGATACTAAGGACTATACAGAATAAACAAAGACATTTTCTAGGTCTGCCAGGTAGGCAAGCAGTAGATGATTCTTAGCCAGAAAATGACAGGATGGAAACTATAGCCAAACATTTGAAGGTATATACTGTGACAACAGAGAGATATAATGGAAACATATCACAGGGTTATAATAAGGCATTAAATAAAGGCAAGTGCTTTGCCCAAAACTGAAACTTGCAAAGCCTGTTACGTAAAAGGGAGAAGCATGAAAACAAAAACAGGAGGATTGGGTGCCAGCCGGCAGATTATTATTTTGTATAATAATTATGTCTGAAATGTGGTGGGATGTCAGAAGGTGCCGGGAAATAGGCAGTTCAGGCTCTGCTGCTGGAAGGGGCTTATGGGACTGAAAAGTTTTCAGTGACTCACACATGTCAATGTTTTGGACTGGAGGGGGAAAAGGGAGGCACAGAACAAAATGTGTCAAGATAATACCCCAAATTAGAAGAACAAAAGATTTTTGTAGGATTTTATTTCTGATCCCTTGACTAGGAAAAGGTTAGCATTTAGGAATGTTAAAGGGGAAAATACAAACCCTCAAAACCTAGGAGGGTGATATTTGATTTCAAAGCAGAAAAACCTTTTTCCTTTTAAAGAAAGAATCAGTGGCCCTAAATAAAAAGAAAACTTGAAATCCTCAGATTAAAAATAGAAAGGGCTTATAAATAGCTGTGGAGTATGGTATTCCCTTAGAAAAATGGAAGAAAAGGACAAGGAAATGCTGGTATGATTAAATTAGAAATTATAGAAGTTATTCAGAACAAACAGGAAACCTTCAGAGAATGGCAATCAAAACTTTGTAAAGCTGAAAGGAAGGTATGTAATAGTGAAGATGGAGTTTGAGCAAGCTAAGAGGGAATTTGAAGAGCAAATAGTAGAAAGTTAAAACTGAAAACACACATTTGCTCAGTACACCAAAAGCAGAAAACCAGAGATAACCTGCAGGCCACCTCAAACAATTAGTAGAAGAAACAATTAAAGACAATAAGGACATTGCCAAGAATCTAAATGATTTATTTGTATCAGTCTTCACCAGAGAGGGTGCTGGAGTGATATCTAAATGAGAGACTCACACTTTCCAAATATCAAAGATAAGGGGAGGTCATAGACTGAAGACTCAAGAGAGAAGTTGGTGGAACAAATCAATAAATCAAAGGCATTAAGTCACCAGGTTTATCTGATATTTCTTGAGGACTTCAGGATAAAACTGAGAATTAAGTAACAAAGTTGCTAACAAATACGTACTACAGCAGAGGATTGGAAGATTGTCAGTGGTATAACTGAGTTGGGGAGTTTTGTTGCTGTTGGTGGTGTTTTTTTCATGGTGTCGGAGGAGCCCTGGCAGTTACAGACACGTATGCAATCCTAATTTACGATCATGTAAATTGGCTGAAATGTGTTAAAAAAACCCAAGCCCCACATCTCTCAAATTATGAAGCACATAGACAAACATGACATGACAGATACAAGCCAGTACAGTGTCTGGGAAAAAAAAAAGGGGCTCTTTGAACCTACTACCAATCTTTGAGCTGGTTGCACCAGCCAGAACACCTAAGCCTACCTGGGAGGTCCCATGACTCACTGTACAGACAGGTAAGTAGCAAATAATTACTCCCCTGCTCCCCCATCCACATCTCATGGCCACTGAGGAGAGAATGTTCATGTTGATAATGGCACATCCAAACAACGTACAGGTCCATGTGACAGGTTATGCTGTTGCAGGGCAATCCAGTCCATCCTTGGATAATCCTGTTAAGCCAAGGAGAAATGTACATCTGGAAATTAAACTTTCGTGGCCCCACTGAAGCTCTGACTGGAGATTTTATGTAGGTACAACCAGTGCTAGCCTCTTTTAGGATCAGCTTTTGATATCTTTCTGTGCATTAGCTAATCAACAGGACTCTGTGCTGCAGGGTTCTTCTCATTCACAATATGGATAGTGACCTGGGCCCTTAATGGTGCGTAATAAGGGACCTGGGGAGTTAACATTTTTTTTTTTAATAAATATATCTTAGACAGGACTGAGCACTCATTTCACTTCTTCCCAGCTCTTCCCAGCTTTTTATGTAAATCTTTACATAAAGCCATTAAGAACAGAAGAAAAGCACTTTGGAAAATTATGCAGTGATGTATTCTTACGCAGCCAACACTCCCAGGGGAAAAAGTGAAAATTACACATAGCCTCCCACCCCTTTTTATTTCTTGTCAAAGATGTTGCCTTTTTTGTCTTTTCTTATATACACACAGCATGATGAACTGATATTTGTAGTTTAAATGTCTGGTTTAACCGCGTGGTTTCCAGAGTAACAGAAAGCTCTCACTAAATGTCAGGTTAGAAATAAAAGCAAGCTCTAGAGGGATGAGGTGAGGAGGAAAGTAGAAGGTCCAGTGGCTGAAAAACAAAATGGAAAAAAAGTGAGCAGAATGCAATGTGGATGTATTTCTAAACTCATGTGGTATTGGTACATGTGGTTGTATGGGGACCTGGGGTAGGAAGACAGATGCATTTCTCACTGAGTTGTTTCTGCTTTCTCTATTAACATTGCAACAGAAATTACAAATAGCCCTGCAAGGGGTAGAGCATTAAACTTCATCTCTTCATCCCATGTAAACACAACGTTAATACTGAAGAATAAAGAAAACGGTAAAAAGTCCAGTGTCTTGTTTTCTGCATTTTGCTTGTTAGGTTTCCTGTCCCACCTCCAGCATACTTCTGTGTGTACCGAAGCTGTGAACTTGACCAGCCCATGTTCAAGCAAACACTCACACTCAGATTCCCAACACTTTCTTTTCTCCCCCTTGAATGGGGAGTTTATTCCTAACAGTTCTGCTCCTTTTAATTATAAACTCCTTTAACGAAGTAGTTCTGAGACCTTGCAGTAGGCAGCAGGAGAGCACCAAGGCTATTAGTTGCCCTGTTTATATACCCAAAGAAGTCCACTTAAAGCCCAAGGCCCAATGCCTTCTTGGATGGGCATGCACTAAAATGAGCCTACAAATCAATAACCCCCCGCAGAAGTGTCTTTTAGGCAAAATACAATTCTTGCCTAAAAAAGATAAAGAGTTTCAGACAGGCCCTTTATTTTATGAGACACACACGAACAAGTTGCTCTGGTGAAAAAAGACCTTACACTGACAAGTTTTGCTCACTTTCAGGCAGAGCTACTGATCTTCTTTACTGGACCAGGAGAACTGAATATGGGAAAGAAACATAAGGGAGACATTTCCTGGGCAAGGAAAGGAGCAGCATTTAGGACTGCGGAAAAAGCAGGGTGGGGTATAGAGGATTTTCCTGATAAAACAACAAATTTCAGAATAAAAGGCCAACCAATATAATGTATGCACTTAAACCAGTAACACACCTTCTCTGGAGTGCAGTATTGTATGTGTCCCCTTTGTTTTCAAGGCTAATTCAGACCTTTGGCTCATCCTGCATTTGCAAGGTCATCCATGTTAACAGGGCCCCTGTGACAGTCCACAGGTGAAAGTTCCCTTTTAGAGTAGTGCAGATTTGAAATTCACAGGACAGCGACCCGAAGATCTTCCTTTACAGATAAAAAGCATGTCAAATTATTAAATAGCAACATGAAATCCTATATTCTGAAGGTCTGTCTTTGCTCTGCAGTTAGGAGAGCGGAGTGCATTCCCAGCCCTTGCCCAGTCCCACCTCCAGCGGCACAGTGGGCACCTGGCTGGCCCCTCTCGTTGACGCCTCATGAATGCTAAAGCTGGAACACTTGGGGTAGTTGAGGAAGGGACGAATGAGCGTAGTCCGAAGACATGTCACTTCAAATTTCTACTGTTAGAATTGCCGGGTATGATATAAAAACAGAAAATATTTCTCAGTTTGAAGTTTGAAGCCTGGGCCCCAAACGCTGAGTGGCTCCTCCCTCTGGTGTCCCTGTTTCCTGCACACGGGCTCCATTGTGCTAGCTGTTGTTCTCTGCCGTGAGATATTTGAGGGCTGCAAAGCCGTAATGGCGTGACATATCCTGCTGGAACTCCTCCTTCAGGGTCTTGAGACAGATGCGGTATTGCTTGTTGGAGCGAAACTTTGTGATGTCAAAGCTGGGGGCGTGCGGCATGTGGATCATGTAAGCGTTGGGCAGCACCGTGAACTCGTACTCCTGGGGGAGAAAGACATCGGCTGTGAGGGTGTTCCCAAGCCCTCTTGCAATGCATCTATCCTGTACCTCCATTGTGTGCCTGTGCAGTGTGGGTTTCAGAAACAACAAACCCATACAGATACGCCAAATAAGCCTTCTTTTTTTAAAGTTGCTTTTTCTTGGTTTTATGAAAGATCGACTTTCCTTTTTTAAAATGTTTTACTCCATATAAGCCAAATGATGGGACAATAGTACAAAAGGCATGCTTGAAGCCATGTCTGCAGCACAGATTTTGCAGTAGTGTTCTTGCAACCAACACAGCTGTGACTGAACACAGCATGAGGCTCAAGTGTCCATACAAAAGCACGCTTTTGCCCCTGCAATTTATCTTGCTTGGGATGCTGCAATAAGCTGTATTTACAAAGGCATCCATTGCACTACATATGTTGCTTTGCCTGTATACTAAGACACTTAAGAGTGACAAAACTGTCCAAAACTATTTATAAACCTGAAATGAGGAGAGAATATGGTATCTTTTATAGGCGATGTGTGAAAATGGACCAGCTAATTCCATATGCTTTGAGAACGTTTTATGCAAATTATGTTCCCCTTCACAAAGTATGAGATACTGTGCTAATTCCCCCTTACTTTTAAAACTACTTCACTTATTCTCCCTATCTGACCAAGTTCTTCAACATTTTTTGTTATTAAAAAATGATGGCTCATTTAAGTCTCAGTTATTCCTGTTAGATTTGTTCCATTTTGATAATTAAATATGTGATCATGAGAGACAAACTAGACAAAGACCAATTCTTAGACAAGCTGGAAGGTCACTAGTGTAGGATGTGCAAGAACCATATATCTGCTCCTTCAAGGAACTGGCCAGAAAATGCATGTGAACCTCAGTATTCTGTAGCCAAAGTGCCCTAACTACTAGGATACTACCTCTTTTTTCATAATGAATTTCAAAAAATATTACTTGTATGCGATGCAAATGACAAAGGAACTTTGAAGACAACACAGGCTATAGTCCTCACACAGTTTCTGTTTACAACTGTTGCTGCAGAAGCCAGTGGGCTGGGCAGGAATAGTCACAGAACATGCTGGCTTTAAAAGAAATGGGGCACAACTTCCCCTGGTTTGCAAAATCCAGCCACTTGTACCTTTAGGAGTCTGTGCAGAGACACACAGTACCTGCAGAACAGAGGCAGGGTATTCCAAAAACATTTTGTTAGGAAAAGAGATTTATGGGGGAGAACACACTTGCTAATAAATGCTAGTGTTTCACCCATAATAAATCTTTCCTCACCTAACAAAATATGACCAGCCTGGAAAAGCCTGAAAACCGCTGGGTTACCATGCTTTCAGAAACCAAGTGTCTGAGAAACACACCCCAAGACAAAGCCCAAACAAAATGGAAAGAAGTGAGCAGAATACAGTGTGGATCCATTTTGCAACTCAGGCAGTGGTACTGGTGAGCCCAAAGTGCAGCTAAGGCTCCCCAGAGACACCACAGCAGTATGTGTTGGACAGCTAGGTGCAGATGCAGCTGTGTGGCTACTCCTTTCTCATTATGGAAATGTCTGTTCCTTGCCACACAGTGCAGAAGTGGTAAATCTTTGTGCCAAATTACAATGCTGTCACATATGGGAATGGGCCCCGATGAGCTTCTGTTTGCGGTGATAAATGTACAGCAAGAGCAAAATAATCTGATGCTCACAGGTAGAACTCATTTAGCTGGAAGAGACTTAGAACTAATGGGGAACCAAATGCAAAAACAAAGGCTGGCATGATGGAGTGAGGAGAGACGATAAACTACAAACTACAAAATATGTCTCTAGGGGACCTTAAAACTAAAGGCTGAAGCTGCAGAGGAAAATACATCCCCTTAAACAATTTTTTCTTTGTTCTCTGTTTGCATCTCAAATCTGTAATCCTGCAGGTCAGGGAACATCTATGCTTCGCAGTGCAAACTGTCCAGCACAGCTGTGCTCCCAGCTCTCCGAAAGGCCTTCCAGCACACAAAGCCTTCCAAAAACTTATGAGTCTGCTGCTAATAAGGCCCTTTGAAAGATGCTGAGCTGGGGTCCTGGAAAAAGGGATGCTCACAGTCTAGTTCCAGAGTCACTGGAAGAGTGGGGAAAGGTTTCCTAACGACCCATCCCTACTACATGGAAATGCACTTGCAGAAACCTCTGTCCCTACCTTATGGGTTAAAAATTCTTTAGATGGAGGCTGTCATTATTTATGTATTTGTACAGCATCCAGCTCAGTGGGCATCTGCACGCCCCCAGAATAACAATGACAATTATATCCACGCAGCGTGCTGCTCTGAAGGATGGTAGTGCCACAGGCCCTTGGGAAGGAGTCTGAAACAGTCCTCTTGGCAGACACTGCAGTTGTGAAGAGCAGTGAAATAATTCAATTGAGAAACTGCTCTGCTTGCTGCTAATGAAGCCAGCCAAGCAGCTGGCAGCAACCTGATCTGTGGACATCTCAAAGCAGAGAAATGCCAAGGGGTAGGTAGCTGTGCGATCCCATGTCCCCTCCAGGCTGATTTTGTGGGAGAACAGGCAAATACCCATGTTGCTACAGATGAAAATGAAACTTCTTTTCAATGTGAGAATATTTTTAAGGCTGGAAGGGTGAGAATTCCCCAGAGTTAGTTCCAGCCCAATGGCCATTTAAAATATTCGCACTGTGATCAACTTTGAAAAATGTTCCAACTTCTCTTGTGTGAATCTGTATACTGGGCAAATGTTTCTGAACAGAAGAGTTAAATCATGAGTGCTAGATGAGAGCTGCCAATGGGAACATAACCCTTGTTACCCAGATTAACAAATAATAAATCATTACACTGGCACTCTCCACAACTAATGGATAATTGATTAATGTTTGGAAAGTACACTGGAAAATTAAAGTGCTATAGCACAACAAAGTATTATTATTAACGATAATATAAGGGACAATATTTTTCTAGACTGTAATAATTTTTCTCAACATAAATAGGTACAAATTTGTTGGGAATGTCCTTTTTCAAACAGAGGGCAAGTGGCTGTCAGCCCAAGGTGACTGTGTGGTTCTGTAAGTGGAAGTAGAAAATATCCCTCACACATATATGCCTGCACACAAATACACTGCAGCCTACACCCCAGGGACACAATTTCCCAGTAACTTGCTGCATGCCTGGTGCTACTCTGCTTCACATAAACTGGTAAGAAGTAGGTAGAGAAGGATCAGCTATATTCCAGATCCATAACAGAAGCTATCATCAGAGGGCACAGATGGTCAAAAAGCGTGTTTTTTGGTTAGCACAAAATGCTACTCGTTCAAAAACTGGGAATGAAACCAAACTAAAAAAACCCCCAAACCCAAGCTAAAAAGAAATGCCATGACCCAGACCTTGCTGATTAGCACAGTGGTTAGCTTCACATCCAAGAACAGCAGGGAGATGCAAACTCTGCCATTTCAGTGAGCCGCAGCACCAGGCTCCCGTAGAGCCATAGTCACTGCCAGCCTCTAAGATCTAGGCCAGTGGCAAGGACCTTGGCAGCATTAAGAGCTCTAGTGCCAGTCTGGGACTCTTGAGCTTTCTCTGCATCCTTTTTCTTACATATTCTGATATACTGCCCAGCAGCTCAATCCCAAGCCACAGATCCAAGAGGTAGGTAGCCCAAGAATCAAGTATCTGGATCCTCTGGAGTCTGCTCCACAGCCAGAGACTAGAAATGTAAAGGCCTTGGCTTTGCAGAGGTGTGCTATAAATCCAGGCCAGAAACTGAAGATGCTTGCCTTGGATTCAACTTAATATTGCTTTTTGAATTCTAAATTAGCATTTGGGACTCACCAACCTCTGTTTACCTGAAAAACTTCCAGCTAGATCTATAGATCCTCTAGTAGGTGATAAGACTGGTAAAAAGTGCTGAAATGCTCAGGCACAGTGTTGGACAGGAGGTGGGCACTGCGGGGCTTGTGCCACTGCAAGACAACTTTCTAAGCACTCACAAATAAACTAACTCAGACTCCTTTCTCCTTTTAATGTTTGACAAGGACTAAACTGAATGTTCCCAACTTATGAAGCACTCACGAAGGAGCTGAGTAAGGCCAAATGCGCACTTCAGTGATGCAAAGCCTGAAGCCTTTCTGCAGAATGTAGATTTCATTTAATAACACTGCTGCTCAGCCCTGGGTAGAGATATGCAGGCGTTGTCTTCTCACCTGTGCATCCAGTTCCATGATGTGAGCTACTTTGTTCCAGCCAAATCCAACAAACCGCCTGTCATACTCTGGGCAGTCCTTCCTCACAACAACGTATGGTTCAAAATCTGCTTCCCACTCAACGCGGTAAGGGGTGGTGGCTGTTCGCCACTTGGCAAAGTTTGTGGGCGCGTGCCCTTTCGTCCAGACGTGATACCTTAAACAGACAGAAATGGCATGGATGTGGTGAGGCAATTGGATAGAATGCATCTTGGCGAGGCAACAAAAAGTTACTTGTTAGATGAAATGCTCAAAAATAAGGACATTAGCTTACAGTTCACAACATCATGCTCAGGACATATCACAGGCAATTTCTAAGACTACTTCCAGTATGCTACGGAGAGCCTCTGTGTGCTCAGTACTTAAACACATCTAGTTGGTGAAGGACAGTGTGAAAACACTACCTAATGCTAATGTGAGAAACAATTACAAAGTACACAGACAGTTCATCTGCACTACAAAGTTCTGTGTCTCATTCCTAGCAACCAAGCGGCTGTTATCAGTGCTCTAAAATCGGTGTGAAATTCTGTAGCTCAGACAAGGCCCCTGAAATTAGCTATTTCTACACCACAGTGACATTCACAATCTGTTTTATATACAATTTTATAATTTATATGAGAGACACCTGCAGCTCTGGATAGAAGTTCCATTTTATTAATTACTGTTATTACTATGGCAGGAGTCAAAGTGCATAATTAAATTAATAAGTAAAATATTACATAAAGGCTTTCTGCTGTACTTTCTATACTGTGGGGAGTACCCACACGTTCCTGAGTAAGGTAATCAATTTGATTTACAGAAAAAGATCCTTTTATACTTTGTTAATCTTGTTTAGGTCACAGCAGGTCCATTCCCAGCACATCTTGAATGCACCCCATTAGTGCCTGGGTCAATGACTCTCTCACCCACTTACTCTTCTTACAACTTTGCAAAAATCAATGAGACAGGCTCTTTTTGCAGACTTGTAGATTAAATAATGAAACAAAGGCATAGCAGGCCATCTGTATCACAACGCTCTGAGATGCGTAACAGAGGGGCAAAACAAACATCCTGCCAGTTTGTAATGTAAGGTACATTGAATTCACAGGGATGACTCATGTGCTAAAGTAAAGGGATTTGAGCACTAAATATTTGCAGAATTAGGACCCGAGGTAACATTTTAACCCCAGAAATTCTTGTAACATTGCAAGCCATTGCTAAAAATAGGGACATAAAATCACAGCCTAGGGGTTTCCACTTGGACTGTATATTCGTATGGCTTATAACTGAGAAAACAGAGAGGTGTTCAGCTTCCCTGACTCTCTTTGTTCAGGGGCAGTGCAGAAGGACAGAACTGTAAGGATAGCCCTGAGGTCCCAAGTATTGTATGGTCCTTTGAAGGCTGCATTTCTGAACTGTAAACAGGTTGCATCACTTTTAGATATCTGTCTTGGGGACCTGAAAAAACAAGACCTTCCATATTAAAAAAACACCTCCAAAAATCCTGTCCCTTTTCTTGGTCTCTTTCGGAAATGAGTTGGTAACCTACCCAGTCACTAATTGGAAGCTATCTATCTGGAAAAAAAGCACAGTCGCAATGTGGGGTTTAAAATGATATGGGATTGTGGAGGATGCTGTATCTTCTAACATCCTACCTCCGGCATTTTGAAATTAATTATGATAATAATAATAATGACTACTAAACACTTATGAAGTGATTTGTATCTTCAAAGCCCCATACAAACTTTGGTTAATTGAGAGATTCCTGCAGAGAAGCAGTCAAATGCTGCTGCTATTCTAGTAACACTCTCCCACTGATTCAAACAGGGGGACACACGACACTAACCATAAAAACATCCCTTTATTTCCACCCTTTTTGGGGAAAGCAGTGCAAGCAGTTACAGTAGCTCAGGTATAACCTCTGTGAGTCGAGAGAGAGAGAGATGACCAGCAGGAAAAAAAATTGGAAGAGACAATGAAGGTGGAAAATATGGAAGTGAAATTGGAGAGACAAAACAAAGCAGAAAGGAAGGAACAGACCTGATTGTACCAAACAAAGTAATACCAGAGATGATCTACATTCCTCTTCAGAGTGACTGATGT